TATGTTCATAAATCATTTGAATTACAGCAGCCTTTCGGACGTTTGCCATAAGATTAGAGCTTTCCCCATCCAGTGTCGATGGCTCTCCTCTGGTAAGGGGATTACTTGAGCCAACACAAAAAGCTGCATGCTGAGTTAGGCTCCAGGGGTACGAACTATCGTCAGTTGTTAGAATGATTCCGGGTCCCCAGTAATCGTCAGCTTCTTCCTCAGTTAACATAATATGGTCCCCTCCTGTGAGGGACACTCTCATTACATATTCAACTTCCGTCTCAGATGGGAGCCTGCTGTATTGTTTTCTAATATTTGCCAATTCCATTGGAGTGTAAGGTATTTCTTTAGTTATTACCTCCTTACTCCTTGCACCATCTCTGTGAGAACTGGAAGTTTTCACAACCGGGCGCAGATATTTATATTCCACTCCCTCCTCTGTCTCGTCCTCGGAATTATAGGGAGAAGATGAATGAATTGAAATGTCTTCCTCCCTAGCAGAGAATTGTTCGTATTTTTCTTCCAGGGCGTGCATTTTCTTAGCAAGGAATTCACACAGCTCCTTTATCTCAGCTACTGAACTCTCCAGCTTGCTATCGGCCAGAGAGGAGGAAGGGAGCGGCTGCGCGGGGGCTTGCTGCTTTTTCGATTTTGAAAGGGAAGGCTTAATTATTTCTGTTTTATCATTAAAAGATAAATGCTTTTTAACTGACTGATCAGGTAAAGGCACCTGCGACGAGCTTGCAGGCTTGCATTTTTTCATTGTCTTGTAGCAATCCTGAGACTCATGATTTGCGCTATCTGACTCTGAGGAATTTGAGGAGTCCAAGGCATCCCCAAAGTCCTCCTCCCTTGAAGGGGAAGCATCTTTGTTTTAACTGTTTTCGCAGCCGTTCAATCTCTTGTTGTAGCCCCTCATTTCCCTGTCGCAGTTCTGCATACCCCTGTTCCACTTTTACACATTCTTGCTTCAGCTCTGCAATCACTTGTTGCAACCTTTGATTTTCCTGTTGCAGTTCTGCATACTCTTGCAGCATTTTTGTCTGCAGCTCTTTATATGCCTGTTGTGACCCTTCATTCTCTTCTTGCAACTTATAACATTTTTGTTGCCACCCCTCATTTTCTTCTTGCAGCCTTGCAAACCCTTTCTCAAAGCCTTGTTGCAGCCCTTTAGACTCTTGCTGCAGCTTTGTAATCTCATGCTGTCGCATTTCCCCATCGTGCCATGCAATCGTGGCCAGAATAAAGAAACAGTGGGCATTAATATAGTGTGGCCCATATTTCTTGATACCCTTTTTTATTTCTCTAGGAAAAGGGAAATCCATATCCAGATTTATAAGGTTATCTGCAATGATATGGAAATCTCCCTTCATATAGTATGCACGAGCCCACATATATTCTCCAAAAGTTGGAATGTATTGGTGCTTTTTATGGTAGTCCCAAAAGGGCTGCATGAATGCATATTTGCGCAGTTGTTTCTCAAACAGAGAAGGTGCTGGGGCTGACCTGTCCTGAACCTTGATATTTTCTGCATCAGTGGCAACTTTTACATGAGTGGTATTCTCTGCTTGAGTGTTATTTTCTGCACAAGCAGCCCCAGTATTGGTACTCTCAGTGCTCATTTTGATACCAATTAAATTAGTTTGAATCTGTTAATTAGCAATTGAGAGCATGGTATGGGGGCTCCAAAAGACCCTCAATATCTCGCTTCTGACACCAAAAATGTCACTGGCCAGTACCGGGGGGCTACCAGCTGTCAGGATGTTTCCGCGACTTACCCCCCCCCAATGTGGAGAGGGCCAGGTACATATTCGGTTAGAAGTAGTTTTTAATCTATTGTTTATTTTTCTGCCAGTTATCATAACCCTTGTGCTGCTTCCTTGCCATGCACTTATCTGGTAGGGCAAGAGGCCTGCTCATTCTGTCCTTGAGTGAATTGGTGAAAAGGCATCACTCTTGCTTTGCTGGCTTGAAAGGCATTTTTTGTTTATTCTTATGTGGGGGGAAGAAGATGGACCATTCCCCACACTCAGAAAGTCAGAGGACGTGGGTTTAGTTGAGGAAACATGCCGAGGGAACTGTTGTGTAGACGCTACTAATTCACTGTTCTGCATGTTAATTCATAAGACAATGGAGAGAGATGCCTGCTTAATCTGGGAGTAAATCTTTACATTTCACAAGGAAATAGAAACTATGGTTAATCAAATCAATGGCGATTTTTAAAAGAACAGTTTGGGCCAATGTGGATTTATGGTCATCTAGAGTCTCTGTAAGAGGAAGGAAACTTTCTGGAGACCTAACAGTATGCTTGTAAAAATGGGTTGGAATGTCACTGTGAAGTGTTTGAATAGCAATTTCCTATAGTAATTAATAATATCTGCTGTTAACTGGCTTTGCTGTATAAGCACATATTGAATCTGTTCGTATGGTTTCATGAATTCTATCAGCCCTAGGAGGTGGAACTCCTAATTCAGATGCTCGATAGACCGGTTGTTTTCACACTCTCATTCTGATTTTGTCTAAGGTATAACCGTTCTTGGATCAGTTGGTATTGACAGCAGTAAAGCACTGAAATGATTCAGTAAAAGTCACTGTGCATTAAGACCCTTTACAAAAATCACGCATAGCTCCTCAGTGTTCTTGTACATTTGCAGTGTCTTCATTTGTGTTCAGTGAACTTCTGTCAAATCTCGTCTGTGCAGTTCTTTTGACTAAAAGAAATGGCACTTGCATTCAGATTCAGCTAAGGTCCTAAAAATCAACCTCCTGTTACTAGTCCAGTTACAGTTATCTCAAAATTACTTTAAAAGTTAATATTACATATTAGTAATAAAATTAATATGTGCAAAAATTGTGTAAGTGCTTCTACTTTTTACTCAAATCTTGTCCTTTCTACTAAGAGTCATATGTGTTCTTGCTTGCTTCCCATTATAGATTAATTGAGAGGTGTATGTCCTTTTAGTGCGACATTTTTTATAGATATTGCTTACATTTACATGTCAGAGGGGAAAATCTGACACTTTAACATTTAATAAATGTTGTCCAAATAGATGTTACTTCTGTATACTGCTTCTCATTTCATGTGATTTGGTTACTCTGTCTTTGATGTTAAGGAAGTGTTCCTAAGTGATAGATACTAAACTTTTTTTTTTTTCTCCAACAGTCAGGACAAAGAATCTTTATCTCTGTGACATGGACACCATTAGAAGAAGGAAAAGTAAGGGAAATGGTTACTTTTCTTATTAATGGTGTTGTAAAGCATCAGGCTGTGCTCCTGGGTGTTGCCGAACAGCCTGTGAAGAAAAAGGTGAGCGTGTCTTTATTATGTGTCTTAATTCCATTACTTTGGCATAGATGACAGTAATACTGTTTTTATTAGTAGAAAAATTAGTGAAGGGGAATTAAAATTGATAAATGATGCTGTCTGTGGGAAAGTGTTCAAAATTTTACAACTGGGCTGGAAAGTAGATATGTATGCATTACAATTTAGAGATTAAAACTAAAATATGACTGAAAATGCTGTTTCCAAGTCTGGAAATTCACTGACTGTGAATTTTGGTTTAGATGTTAATTTCATAGTATTTTTAGGCTTTGAATGAATACACTAGGAATGCTCACTTTTACACATAAAAGTATGTAGAAAGTCAGCCTACTAACTTTTATTTATCTTCCCTTTTCAGAAGAGTCTTTCAGATACTATGAAAAAGAAAAACTCTTCAGAAATATCTGCTTCAGTAAAAGTTAAAAAAATTACTTCAAAGGTTAAAAATGTTAATCAAATCTTTCAAGTTTCCCAGGAGGTGGATAGGCTTAGAAGCCCACTTAAGCCATGTGAAAATCAGAACACAATGCAAAATAATACATCCCCAGGAAATGACTCTCTTGTTGGCTCAGAAAATAAATTACCTTTATCTCCGATTTCACCAGTGCTAGAGGAACATCATAATACTGTTTGCACGCCTCTCCAAATTAGAAGATCTACGTTCTCAGATATTGCTGCACCTGTAAAGGAGGAGTTACAGCCTGAAATAGACAGCTGTAATGTCTATAAATGTATTAGAGAGCACGAAAGTGCATACACATCTCTTGGATTAGCACAACTGCCGATTCCAGACAATGAAGTATTTCTCAATTGTGCACTCTCACCAGTTTGCACTCCAGAACACTCGGCATCTGTGGGTGTTTTAAGTACAAGGAGAATTTTAAGTCCAGACTCATTTGTAAATGGCAGCTACCACGTGGATATAGATACAATACAGCAGCCTATGCCAATTCTGTCACCTGATCAGTTTGTAAAAGACAACTTGTTAGATATGCAGTCAAAGGCTCCGAAACATAAGGCAGCTACAGAGACTTGTGTTGCAAACAGAGTCCTACCCTCAAAATGGAGAAAAAAAGATGTAGGGACAAAAACACATGTTCATATAGAACACAACTTAAATGAAGCCTTTTTGATGCATAATGTAGAATCACCAATACTTCATATTAACAAACCCACAGGAAATCTCTTCAATTTTCCTTCTACAGAGGAACTTCAGACTCACTGTTCTTCTCAGAGAGAAGAAGCCAAACCAAAAAAGCGTCCAGTTCTTTCTGCCACTGTCATAAAAAACAAGCCTGTTGCTGCTGAAGAAAAAAGAATGGAAACCTTCCAGCCAAAATCAAAAAAAGACCTTAGTAAAGCAATAATGGAAAGTGCTAGTGTGGTGCCTGTTCATGCAAACACAGAAATATCTAAACACCTTCCAGTTATAGGTCCCATTTCAGCTGAAAATAAGTGTCGCAATGACAAAGTAAATTCATTTCCTACTGGATCAACTTCTTTGTGTCATAAAAGGAAACGTGAAATACATGTAGAAAACAGTAAAGTTGCAGCTCCAGTGTTTGTGGAAGAAGTGGAAAGAAAGAGAACTCTTAAATTTAGTGTGGATGATAAAACACATGCTACTATGAGACCATCAGCCTTCAAACCCACAAACCGAGAGAGAATAGGGCAGAGGAGGAGAGCTGGTGAGTAGTATTTCCTACATTTACCACCTCATGAAAGATGCCTTTGATAATGAAATTTGTACAGCAAATGGAACTGTATAGCAACACTCAGGAATATGTCCTATCTGAAATGTGGGCCTTTGCAATTTGTTAGGTATTATCTGCATTTTAAAAATTTGACAAGTAGATCAGAGTTTTGGTTGTGTAATTGGCTTCAAATTGACTTTTTTCTATTGTAAATCTTAGTGAGAGTAATAGGAGATGTATCTGGAAGTTTTCCAGCAAAGTCATAGAATCATAGAATCCTAGGAGTTGGAAAGGACCTCGAAAGATCATGTAGTCCATCCCCCCCGGCCAGAGTGGGGTCACCTAGAGTACCTCACACAGGAAGGCATCCAGGTGGGTTTTGAATGTCTCCAGTGAAGGAGACTCCACAACCTCCCTGGGCAGCCTGTTCCAGTGCTCTGTCACTCTCACAGTAAAAAAAAACTTTCAGATATTCACCTTGAACCTCCTGTCGGATATTCACCTTGAACTTCCTATGCTCCAATTTACACCCATTACCCCTTGTCCTATCACTGGTCATCACTGAGAAAAGCCTAACTCCGTCCCCCTGACACTCACCCCTTACATATTTGTAAACATTGATGAGGTCACCCCTCAGTCTCCTTTTCTCCAAGCTAAAGAGACCCAGCTCCCTCAGCCTTTCCTCATAAGGGAGATGTTCCACTCCCCTAATCATCTTCGTAGCTCTGCGCTGGACTCTTTCGAGCAGTTCCCTGTCCTTTTTGAACTGAGGGGCCCAGAACTGGACACAATACTCCAGATGTGGCCTCACCAATGCAGAATAGAGGGGGAGGAGAACCTCTCTTGACCTACTAACCACACCCTTTCTAATGCACCCCAGGATGCCATTGGCCTTCTTGGCCACAAGGGCACATTGCTGGCTCATGGTCATCCTCCTGTCTACCAGGACCCCCAGGTCTCTTTCACCTACACTACTCTCCAGCAGTTCAGCCCCCAACCTGTACTGGGACATGGTGTTGTTCTTCCCCAAATGTAAAACTCTGCACTTCCCCTTGTTGAATTTCATCATGTTTCTCCCCGCCCAACTCTCCAACCTATCTAAGTCTCTCTGAATGGCAGCACAGCCTTCTGGTGTGTCAGCCACTCCTCCCAGCTTAGTGTCATCAGCAAACTTGCTGAGGGTACATTCTATACCCTCATCCAGGTCGTTGATGAAGATGTTGAACAACACCGGTCCCAGTACCGACCCCTGTGGGACTCCACTAGTCACACACCTCCAACCAGATTCTGCCCCATTGACTACAACTCTCTGACTCCTTCCTTTCAACCAGTTCCTAATCCACCTCACTTCCTGATCACCAAACCCATACCTGATCAACTTTTCTACAAGGATGCTGTGGGAGACGGTGTCAAATGCTTTACTGAAATCAAGATAAACCACATCTACCGCTCTACCATCATCTATCCACCTAGTAATTTCCTCATAGAAGGCTATGAGGTTAGTCAAACATGATTTACCCTTGATAAAACCATGTTGACTGCTCTTGATGACCCCCATGTCCTTGATGTGCCTGGAGATAGTGCCAAGAACAAGTTGTTCCATCACCTTTCCAGGGATGGAGGTGAGGCTGACCGGTCTATAGTTACCCGGGTCCTCCTTCTTGCCCTTCTTGTAGACTGGAGTGACATTTGCTATCCTCCAGTCCTCAGGCACCTCACCTGTTGCCCATGACTTACTGAAGATGATGGAGAGTGGCCTAGCAATGACCTCCGCCAGCTCCCTCAGCACCCTTGGGTGCATTCCATCTGGACCCATTGATTTATGGATGTCCAGATTACTCAACTGATCCCTAACCCAATCCTCATCTACCATGTCAAACTCTTCCTCTATCTTGACTTCTTCTGGGGCTATATGAATCTGGGGCTCATAGGGAGACCCTGCAGGAGTGAAGACAGAGGCAAAGAAGGCATTCAGCACCTCTGCCTTCTTTATATCCTCTGTCACCAGGGCTCCCACCTCATTCCTCAATGGGCCAATATTGCCTCTATTGCTAGTTTTGCTAGCTATGTATTTGAAAAAGCCCTTTCTATTATCCTTAACCTGACTTGCAAGGTTAAGTTCCAAGGAGGCCTTAGCTTTCCTAATTGCCTCCCTACATCCTCTGACAACAGTCCTATATTCCTCCCACGTGACCAGCCCCTCCTTCCATGATCTGTAGATTTTCCTTTTCCACTTAAGTTTGCCCAGTAGTTCCTTCTTTAACCATGCAGGTCTCCTAGCACCCTTACTAGATTTCCTAACCATTGGGACGCTCTGATCCTGTGCTTGCAAGAAGTGGTCCTTGAATGTTGACCAGCTATCTTGAGCTCCTTTATCTTCTAGCACCCTGTCCCATGGGATTTCCCTTAATAGATGATTGAGGAGACCAAAGTTTGCCCTGTGGAAGTCCAGGGTTCTGGTCCTGCTGGGTATTTTGTTCCTTCCACACAGGATCCTGAACTCCACCATCTCATGATCACTGCAGCCAAGGCTGCCATTGACCACCACTGCTTCAACAAGGCCCTCCTTGCTGGTTAGTACAAGATCCAGCAGCGCTCCTCTTCTAGTCGGCTTGTCCACCATTTGCATTAAGAAGTTATCATCAATGCACTGGAGGAACCTCCTAGACTGTGAAAGGCTGGCTGTGTGAGTCTTCCAGCAGATATCAGGGTAGTTGAAATCTCCCATGAGGACCAGGGACTGTAGTTGTGAGGCTGCTTTCAGTTGCCTGTAGAAAGCCTCATCAACCTCCTCACCTTGATCAGGAGGTCTGTAGTAGACCCCCACAACTGTGTCACCCGCACCTGCTTGCCCCTTAATTCTTACCCACAGACTTTCAACTTGCCCCTCATCAGCCCCTGCACGAAACTCAATACATTCTAGTTGCTCTCTCACATAAAGAGCAACTCCACCACCTCGCTTCCCTGCCCTATCTTTCCTAAAAAGCACATATCCATCCATGGCCACATTCCAGTCATGTGAGCTGTCCCACCATGTCTCTGTTATTGCTACTAGATCATAACCCTTAGCCCGCACACAGACCTCTAATTCCTCCTGCTTGTTCCCCATGCTGCGTGCATTAGCATACAGGCATTTAAGGAAACAAACAGAGCACACCGGTGGGACTAAATCCTCCTTGGATGACCTGACTTTGGGCCATGGTGTGTTCCTCTTGTGCTTGTCCCTAACAGACCTGGTCTTCTCCCCTTCCCCCTTCACATCTAGTTTAAAGCTCTATCAATGAGCCCTGCTAAGTCCTGCCCCAAAAGCATCTTCCCCCTCTGGGACAGGTGCATGCCACCTGCCACCATCAAGCCAGGTGTCTCATATAGCAGCCCATGATCAAAAAAACCAAAACCCTGTCTTTGGCACCAGTCTCTTAGCCATTCGTTGACCTGTAGACTCTTCCTGTTTACCTCCCCACCCATTCTTGCAGGAGGGATGGAGGCAAACACTACTTGCGCTCCAGACCCCCTAACTAGCCGTCCCAGGGCCCTGAAGTCACTCTTCATTGCCCTTACATTTCTTGTAATAATTTCATCACTGCCAACCTGAAAAATCAGCAGCGGGTAGTAATCAGAGGAATCCACAAGATTAGGGAGTTTCCTTTTAACATCTCTAATCCGAGCCCCAGGGAGGCAACAGACCTCCCTGTGGGATGGGTCCGGTCGACAGATGGGCCCTTCTGTTCCCCTCAGAAGGGAGTCACCCACCACAATTACTCTCCTTTCCTTCTTGATTGAAGAAGTCCTTGTTATGCAATTCCAATTTTCTAGAAGTCTACTACGTGAGATTTCTGTGATATGTACACACACTATTGAGAATATTTTATTCCATTGCTGTGGTCACATGTTTACAAATACCTAGTTCTGAGGTCTCATTCATGGTGTCTGTTTTTTACTGTCTGTAATTAGTTTGTTGTTAGCCGTATGTGTATCTTTCTGTCTTTATAGTTTGACAATACTTTGTTGCTTGAAGATCAGAAGAAGCTGGCTTCGTGTATTTCAATGCATTTTTGTTTTTCTAATGTTCAATTCCCAAATATGCTGTTTGACTGAAAGAAGCATTTAATTTGTAGAATCTTCATGCAGTCTATGCAGTGTAACTTGCCGGAAAAAATCATCATGACTGTCAGCTCAAAATAACATGCTGCTTTCTTCAGTTCAAGTGTCCTGTCATTTAGATTTGATTTGGGGCTTTCAGTAATGTGCTTGGATTTCAGGCTTTTTAAGATTGTCTACAGAAAACCGTAACACAAACAACGTTAGTATGCAGAAGGAAAAGCTGTGTCATCTACTAGGTTATTTCTAGTTATCTCATAGGGTAAGGGTAGAAGGGCTGGACAAGGAAAGTTTCTGTGAGCCCAAAATTAACTCTGGTGTCTCTTAATCCTAGTTATGAAACGCAAAAATGATGCCAGCTTTATGTTCTTCTTGACAATTTTTCTTCAGAAATATGACCTGTTATTCTTTTAATTGCATAGGTATTGTCCCTAGGCTTTACAAAGAAAAATCATATTTCACCACTAAAATTTAAATTTGAAATGCCTGTCATTAATTTTAGCCCCTTGAGATCCAACTTTATTTAAAAATATCAGAACTTATTTAAAATTTATTCAAAGTGCATGACAAATTGGAATGCCTTTTTTACTTCTCTAGAAGTGAATGTTCTGTGAAAAACTCAACTTCAGCTAAGCAGGAGGACGCAGAGTCCTGTAATTTATCGTCTCTATCTTTTCTGTTTCTGAAGTACCATCTTGTAAGGGATTCTAAGGCAGCAGCTATAGTTCACCTCCAAGAACCTTTTAAATCCTTCATTTAGTGTCAATGTAACAAAATGGTTTCTGTAAAAGTGTGTATTTTTATATGCTGAGAGTTCAGAAAACCTAGATAAACATTTTTTCCATGTGTTTTAAATAAATCTTTCTACTGCTACGTGGTGGATAATACTAGCTAGTGCCTTGTTGCCTGAGCTAAGGCAGGCTGCTCTGAAATGAGTATCAATGTAGTGAGCTAACTGGGAAGGGGTGAGTCAAGCCCTTAAAAGGCACACATCTTATCCCTGAGGCTTAGAGAATACACACCTGCACACATCCTAATGAATGTTCTTATCGATTAGCTTAGTGTTATTCATTACTATTGCTTCCTTGTGATTATAGTCAAATTGCTTTGCTTAACTTTTTCTGTCAGTGGGAGAATCCTGGTATTTGTGTGGGTTTGTGGGGAATTACTCCAGTTCAATGCTTTGTACATGATGTATGTTAACTTTCACTGACATGTTTGTTGCTGATATTTGTGTATTAATACTTGTAGGCCCTTCACTTCAGAAAGCATCTAAAACTAGAAACAGAATTAGTAAACCCATCCCTGGATTGGCTCAGTCTCACCTGACATTTGTGAAACCACTGAAAACAGGTAGGCAGACTTCTGGTATTTATTGAACTGAACTGCTGTACTGCTAGTGATTGGTAAGACCCAACTTGTTAGAGCTGAGATGAAGGAGAAGATTGTACTTACAATTAATTGATATTTAGTAGAAAAATATATGTAACCTTTCATGTTCCACTTGGACTGCTTACAAGAGAACAGGATGGAATGCATGGCCAGCAGAAGTAAATGTTCCCCTTTTGACCAGTTTTCCCTGTAAGCATAAAAGCTACATTACAGATATGTTCTCAGCTCACTGATGTTTATCAGTCAAATGCCTCTTTCATATATGATAAAATTTTAATACAAGAGAATACCTAAGAAGAGAAAATGTTTTACCAAAAATATAGTGATTTTGCAGAGCTAATAAGACTAAGTTGATCTGAACAGAGAAATTCATTATAAAATGGTTCTTTCTGGATGTAATCCAACTCAACTTCGTTTTGCCCAAAGATGTGCACTGCAAATGACCTGGCTTCTAGAAATCTTGTATTTGTTCTAGAGCTTTAATAACTTAATCCATATTTTATGACTGAAATTTATGTACTGGTGGCTGAACTGCAAGTCACTGAAGATTTTAATAATCCGTTTTTTTATGTTATAGTGCTAAATGGAGTGTCAAACATTAATCTTTTCCACAATTAAATGCATGTTGACTATCAAACATTTAAAATCCTAGAGACTTACTTATTTTTCTTTTTTTTAAAATTAAGTCATCCCTAGGCACCCAATGCCTTTTGCTGCTAAAAACATGTTTTATGATGAACATTGGAAGGAGAAGCAACAACGAGGTTTCACCTGGTGGTTAAATTTTGTACTTACCCCTGATGACTTAAGTGTAAAAACAAACACCTCTCAAGGTAAGAGTACAAAAATTTCCTCTGTCTTTTAATGTTCTTAAACATTATGTAACGCGCTTTGTTAGTTTTAATGAAGAGTCGTAGTAGCTTAACACTAGTCCCAACTCATCGACTCATCAATATAGTTTTTACAACATTAAGCTCTCAAATAGAGTAGAATTTTGGGGTTTTTTTAATTTTTATGCATCACCTGTTGTCTCAAATGGGGTGAGATAGCACACAAGATGTATACACACAGATCAAGATGTATTGCATATAACACTGGGGTCTTAGCTCATTAAAACAGAAGGCACAAGCACAGTCAAATTGTAGTGAAATTGGGAGATTGGAACAGAAGTGTAAGTTAGAATGCAAAAGGTATCTTAACAATAAAGGTTACTGCTTGTATTTAGATCAGACAATAAAGGTTAACCATTAAACTGTTGGCAACGGTTTATCAAGTTTTATACTAGGCCTAGAACATAACTCTCAATTTTAAAGGATCCTCTAATCTTAAAATTTACTGATGAAAATTACTTTAAGTTTGCTAATTAAGGAGTTATTCCTTGCCCAGCCATAACTGGGTGTCCCTGGGTGGGTCTTAATTCTTGAGAATTAATGTCTCTGGCAGGCACCCCTGCTGGAGAGAAAGTCCAGCAACCTTCTGGGAAAGTGTATGGGAAGTCTGATCTAAGATGGGACCAGGCTTTTACAGAATAAAGTGTATTGACTGCTGTTGTTTAACTATTTAGTCGTTCCTCCAAAATCTCTCATTGGAGAATAAAAGGAAAACAGTGGAAGAACCATGAAGGCCCTGTTCTCACCAAGCAAACTCTTTTGTTTTCTGCTTGTTCTTCCTTTATCTCCATTTCAGGCCTAGTTGTGGCTGGGCTGGGCTCCATGTTCTTAAACACCTTGATGCATAATGTATCTTGTACCATTCAAGGTTGTTTCCAGCTCAGAGCTTGCTAGACCCTTTCCTTTCTCATGGGAATCTTTCCACTCCAGGCCTGGGCTTGTGAAATTGAGAGACAAAAAGGAATTGAACCACAGGGTGAAACTAAGGCAGGCATATTGAGAGATTGAGAGTCCTGCTACATTCCACCATGTGACTGCAGTCAATCACTTTACTCAGTGAGATGGGAAAGCAGGTACCTCTTACCTCTGTGCTATAAAGTGTCCTTCGTTTATAGGAATGAATCACAAATAGGTTTCCAAAATGTGTGAGAGGACCTGTTCCTGAATGTTGGATTAAGTGAAATTAAATTAAATTAAGTAAAATTAAATATGGTGACAGATATTAATTCTCCTGTCTAACTATACTGTTTTTGTATTTTAGTGTTTGTTTACATGGGATCAGTTGTTGTGTTTTGCAATTTGTGCACCATACTTTTAGACATAGAACTACTACCAAAACTAGACATAATTTTATCGATATTGACAGTACTATCATAGGATATAGCACTGAGTTTAAAATTCCTTTTGCTGTTGGCAACCATCCAAACAAGATTTCCCCACACTGGTGCTCTCCTTGCTTCTTGACTCTTTCCAGGACGTTATGTATTCTGTCTGTGTCATGGTGTACCATAATCAGAATTCTCTGGCCTTCTTCTTACATTTGTTTTATCAGTTTGTGTAACTCAGGGTGGTTGATGATTTAACTGTTTCTTGACCAAAGCAATGTCCAACCTGTTTGCAGTTGGAGATATGGTGTTGTACAGCACATTGACTTCTTGTAAAGTCTGGTACATGGTCATAGGCATAGAGTAGCTGAAGTCACATCCTAATATATAGGTGAAATTGCAAATATAGGTCGGAACGATTGTCAAGTTGTACTGTTTTATTATCTATTGTTAAATTGCTACAGAAAGTTCATAGGAGGAATCTGAGGCAGGCGTATTGAGAGATGGAGTGTCCTGGTCCTGTATTTCCCTTTTCAGCCTTTGACTTAGTACTGTGATAATCTTTAATCAGATATATGGTGATGTGTTTCAGTGGTGGTTCTGCTGGAAAATATGGACTATGCTAAAGCAAAACCCATTCTCACATTGAAGACACCACTGTCCAACCTGGCAGAATTTTGTCACTATCTAACCCTTTTCAGAGTCGTATTTTCCGCTTGTGATAAGTGTGGATGGCACACTTGCTGACACTAAGTACAGCATACCACACACCTGAGTGGGGAGTGTGCTCTGCAACCAGAAGTACACACTGGAACATGTGGCATGTGGCCAAGTAGGGAATCCCCACCTGCTGAAATACATTATAGCTGTCACTTTACTAAAATGACAGTAATGTACTTTTTTTTCTTTAGCTTCAATCTAAAATATTAAAGATGGTATAATTAATTTCTAGCGGTGCTCGCTTATGAAATAAGCAATGTTTGACTAACATACGTGTACTTCATGTGGTTAGTGCAACAGCTAATAAGCTTTCTGAGGGATAAAATCATTAGTCAGAAGGAAAATAAAATTAAAACCTAGGGGAAAAAAAATAATGAGATGAGCAAAGTGACCTTTGAGATGTAAATGCATACTTTTTGTGTGTGTTTAAACAGTAAATGCGGCTGCTCTTATTTTGGGAGAAGAGAACCATCATAAAACCAGTGTTCCTAAAGCACCAACAAAAGATGAAGCTTCTCTAAAAGCTTATACAGCTCGTCGTAAGCTGAATAAGTTACGACGTGATGCTTGCCGTTTGTTTACCTCGGAAACAATGGTTAAAGCTATTAAGAAGCTGGAATTTGAGATTGAAACTAGACGTTTGTTAGTTCGTAGAGACAGACACCTCTGGAAAGATGTAGGTAAGAATACTAAAACTTTACATCCTGTTTTCTTGTAAGTAGAAAAAGGGTTATTCACGCTTGTAATTTAATCTATAATTGGTTGATAGAAATTTTTACTATAATACGAAGTGTTTGCTGGATGTAATATTATAAGATGCTTTCTTGCAGGAGAGAGGCAGAAAGTCCTTAACTGGCTTTTATCTTACAACCCTTTGTGGCTGCGTATAGGTCTGGAGGTAAGTGCAGAATTTATGGTCTGTAATCAAAATTTAAAGGACACCTAGCAATTTTCTTTTACTAGGGGATGTTTCAGGTTTATTTTTACTTCCTGTTCTAATAATCCAAGTAGGTTCAATTCAGTTGCATGGTGTGTTTACATCTCTTAAACTATTTTGACAGATTTGCTTTAAATAAGTGCTTATTAAAAAGGACAATAATTGAGGAAAGTAGAAGTTAAATCCCTGACTGCTACCACAAAAGCTGTTTCCTGTTAGTGTCCCTCTTTTATAAACTAGAAAAAAATGCAGCTGTCTTAAGGAAGATTCCTCAGATGGAGATGATCATACATGTTTCAAAATTAAACCTGTATATACTGAAACTGACTTTGGTTTTATTTTTCAGTGACTGATTTGAAAAACTGACGGATTTTTAGGGACTTCATTGCCATTTATTGCTTCATTATTTCAGTAATGTTTGTTATAAAAAAAAAATCCTGGTAGTATTTGAGGCAATTTTTAATGGTTCTGCTGTTTTCTCCTCCTTTCCTATTAGACTGTTTTTGGAGAACTCATAGCTTTGGAGAGTAATAGTGATGTTATGGGTTTAGCAATATTTATCCTTAATCGCTTGCTTTGGAACCCTGACATTGCAGCTGAATACAGACATCCCACTGTGCCTCACCTTTACCGAGAAGGTAACTACTATTTCCAAAACCAGGTTATTTGTAGCACTTAGTTTTTGAATTAGCACTTAATGTGTTACACCTTTTTAGGTCATGAAGAAGCTTTGTCAAAATTCACACTGAAAAAATTGCTGCTGTTAGTTTGCTTTCTGGATTGTGCCAAACGGTCCCGAGTGATTGACCATGACCCTTGCCTCTTTTGTAAGGATGCAGAGTTCAAGGTAAGAGAGCTGTGATTAGATTTCTTTCTCCAATATGTTCCTAAGACTGAATATAAAATATACCATTTTTTAAAAAAATCTATGTACTTTTCATTAAAAAGTCTTGGCTGTTTAAGCTTTTGCAGGAAAATTGTCAACACATCATCTCACAGTCATGTAAGGGAATTCACAAGAAAATTTTGAGGTATTGGTCCTGTAGGAAGGACTCCATTATCTTTTGTTATCTGTCTTCCCTCTCTAAATCTAAGCTTCTGCAGTGTTTTAAAATATCAATCTAGCAAAGTGCTGCTGATCTTAAACTGCAAGTCAGTTTGATGACCTTTGGTTTGTTTTCTCTTCTGCTATTTTTCTGTGATAAGAAAGACTGCACATCTACCTTACAAAGGCTTTGATTAACAATAAATTTATGGTCCAATAAAATCACTTTTTCTGGGCTTAGTACAGACTGAGAAAAAAAGTATTCCAAAATTCAGTGGTGCTTTCAGTGACATGATAGTCATACATGAAGAAAATCAAAGCTATCTGAATTGGGTAAATATATATATATAAAAAACCACCAACCTAAAAATTATAATTTTAAGTATTTTTTAAGGAAATATGTAATGCAATTTGTGGGACAAGGAATGAAAATTGTATTCTGCTCAACGAATATTATATTGTAATGTTAAGATTATATTTTCTTCCTTTTTTTTTTTTTTTATAATATCTTTTAGGCTAGCAAAGACCTTCTGCTGGCATTTTCTCGGGACTTTCTGAGTGGCGAAGGTGACCTTTCCCGCCATCTTGGTTTCTTAGGACTGCCTGTCAGTCATATTCAAACTCCACTTGATGAATTTGATTTTGCTGTCACCAATCTGGCTGTGGACTTGCAATGTGGTATTCGTCTTGTGTGCGTTGATACAAAATCATTTTGAGCTATTTATTTTTGTTCATATAATACTTGATATGAGCTCAGCTAAGGCATTAAACTGTGGTGTTCCCTTTCTTAGGAGAACAATGGAACTTCTCACCAAAAACTGGAATCTTTCAAAACAACTGAGAGTTCCTGCAATAAGTCGGCTACAGAAGATGCATAATGTTGATATTGTTCTTAATGTCCTTAAAGAGCGAGGAATTCACTTGAAAGATGAAAGTGGTAAGGCCTAGAAATCCTGGTTATTTTAACTGCATCAGAGGGCTAGTGCACACTTTAATTCCTTGTTTTTATTTCATAGGTGCTTCAATTGACTCCAGGGATATTGTGGATAGGCACAGAGAACGAACATTAGCACTCCTGTGGAAAATTGTCTTTGCCTTCCAGGTATTATTTAATTACTTGCTGTGTTTGTTCCTAATTTCAAATGAGAGATTAAAAAAAACACTAGTCTTTCAACAATATTTGTTGCCTGTGAAAGAGTCTATTAATAAAATTTTAAACTGAAATTATCTGTTTTGTATGTTCAGTGCCACACAGATTTTTTAACTAGATCTGCTAACTCTTCCATTAACAATATAGTGTAGATACGTTTATAACTGTGCTTTTCCTTGTATATATTCATTCAAGTTTTTGGAAAAAACTTAACTTTTGAGTTTATGCTGTATGCCAATGAAATTGATACTTAACAGTAAAATGAAGTTGATCTAAAAATGCTGGTAAGCTCTTACTAACTGAAAAGACTATTTTAAGGTTATGCTGACAGACAATTACAGAGTAAGCTCTGAAACTATAGCTTTTCTACTTTTTGCCGTGTGTCTGAAACAGTCAATCTGAAGAAACATTCATGAAATAGGAATGCTTGAAATAAGAATTCAAATTCACTGGGAAAAAATGGTGAAGGAAGCAAAAATAATTTTCTTGAGACTGTTTTAAGAGTTGAGTAAGTAGCCAGCTGACAAATCCAGTTGGAAAGAACATAAAGCATTAAAAGTAAAATAAGATAAAAGTTGAGGTGGAATTTCACCATTAAATAGTCAGGAATATAAGAATAATTTAGTATATCTAAAGCAAAGATTTCAGACTGGCCACCAAACTATCAGAGAAGAACATAATAAAAATCAGATGTAACTTTTTTCTTACTTAACTACTGTTATGATATTGAGTTGTTACTTTCTTCCCGTTAGTTTTCCTTTATTCATATTTATTAAAGTTGCATTGCTTTTGATTAAAGAAATAATGTCAGTGAGCAGTGGCTTTATCCAAGCCCTGTGCTTATACAAATTATTTTCCAAGTCTTCCTGCACTAGCTTATGTCCTATCAGAATCCCTAAAATTAAGAACAGTGCCACATGGGCTCAATGCGGGCAAGACTCAGAAATTGTTTTCTCTGAAAGTATAATGAAATTACTCAGGCTGTTTTCAGGGAATTTCGCTCTTTTCCCGAACTCTTAGCTAACAACGTAACTATTTCACATAGAACAGTGGGAGTGGGCATTTTGGTTCCATTATTTGAGGCAGTTAGTAGCAGACACTGTATCTATTCTGGCAAGTCCAGATTATCCACTGTTGCTTCATTGTGGCAGGTTCTGCTAAGTATTGAGAGTAATTTTTCTTTAATATATCATATCTAAAGCCTCTGTATCCAGCTGCTATAATGCATGACACATCAGACTGTTAGTGACATAAATAAAACCTTTTTTTTCCTTCTTTATAGGTGGATGTTGTTCTTAACGTGGAACAGCTGAAAGAAGAAATTGAGTTTTTGAAGAATGCACACAAGAGAAAAAAAACATTGGGTGCTCTAAAGACTTTTCCAAATTGTTGTGGAGTACAAGATGATAATAGGAGTAACTCCTCACCTCAAAGTTACAGTGAAAATGTGAAACTGCTTATGGCATGGGTTAATGCTGTTTGTGGATTTTATAATATTAAGGTAAATAGTTTTGTGTACAATTCACCAAATACATCCTTTGCTGTCATATAAATGCTTATTCTTTATAGAGCAGAATTCATCAGACTACCAAGTATGTAGTAGCAGCCAGTTTTAAATATCCTTATGGACTTCGTTTAATCTGATTTGAAATAACCATCTTTCTGTGGGCTTAGCTGCAGATCTCTTTTAAAACAAATTTGAAAAAAAGGATCTCCCCTTCCAGTTAATCGTATGCAGAAAAATGCCTTTCAAAAATGAAACATTTCTGCTGGAATGTTGGTTTGTTTGAGTGTTAGTATTTTTTAATGAGAATTAACCCTAAAAGTATTTTTGCATAAAATCTTCACCATTTAAAGGAATTGTGAGAATTGAACTATGTTTGGGACAAGTGGGTTTCCTGTCCTCAGAAGATCTGTTGGTTTAGAAGGGACATGGGTTTGTTCCTTCCAAGAAGAGAAGCCCTGTTCAAAGACTTCGCTTATCAGAATACAGCTCTACACTGAATACCTAGTGTAAAGGCATCTCTAGAAGTTTCTCAGGGATCTTTCTGTAGAAAGATTGCTTTTTTCTTTGTTTCTTAAGTGTTTCCATGGGAGATTCACTACAGAGTGATTCACATACCTTTTATCTGGTTTCTCACAGCTTTATGTCATTTTACAGTGAATATTGAAAGGAAGCAACAGTTTCCTATATTTTTTTGTTCAAAAAGTTACAGACTTTGTCACTTTCAAAAGTACAAGATAAATCCTATATCCAGTTCATACCATTTAACTGGTAACAATGCTAATGGAACTTCTATCTTACTGTGTTTTATTTAACAGGTGGAAAACTTCACGGTGTGTTTCTCAGATGGTAGAGTATTCTGTCATTTGATTCATCATTATCATCCACGTTACGTACCTTTGGAAGCTGTGTGCCAGCGTACAACTCAAACAGTAGAATGCTCAAGAACTCATACAGTGGGACTAAACTCTTCCTCCTCATCCTCTTCAGAATCTGATACTTCTCTAAATGTCATGGAAGGAATGTTTGACCAAAGTGAGTTTTGATGTACAGCAATTCATGTTAAATCTATTTTATGTAGAATTTGATTTGACAAAAATTTTCTCTTTGCAAAGCAGCAACTGCCTCAGTCCTGTACAAGGAACTCTTGGACAATGAAAAGAAAAACTTCCAGCTGATCAATGCTGCAGTTTCTGACCTGGGTGGAATACCAGCAATGATTCATCACTCAGACATGTCAAATACGATTCCTGATGAGAAGGTAAGCTGCCTTTAGAGTTGATGTAAATGTGTTAATGTGTCCTGCTCTTCCATATAGCCCTTAACTTGCTATGTTCTGTGTTTATGTAGGTTGTTATTACCTACCTATCATTTCTGTGTTCGAGGCTTCTAGATCTTTGTCAAGAAACTCGAGCTGCTCGATTAATTCAGGCTGCCTGGAGGAACTACAGGCTGAAAAGGGAACTGAAACTTTCTCAGGTACTTTTTGCCTGTGTAATATTCGTAATTTCTACTTTGAGGAATAGTACATAAAGAACATAAATTCACTCTTTGTAGTATACAGGTTTATGAGAATAATACTGGTATTTTGTTATAAAAATACATGGCCTTCTTGATGGTGTGATCTACTACAAAGACCATTCTGAAGTTACTGCATTTACTTAAAGGCTGCTGTTCTTTCTTCTGTGTTCTGATTAGACCATGTTGCCCCCTAAACCCTTCTCCCTGTTTTTCAAATATAAAATAGTTGGATGGCTTTCTTTAAACAAAAAGAGAGTAGTTAATTATTAATTTCCATTAATGTCTTCCAGATGAAAAGAGTAATTAAACTTCTGCATGGATTTACTATTTTTGTTTAGGAGCTAAACTTTGTCACTGCTTTGAGTTGAGTTGCATGAGTTCTGGTATTTTTGTTTTTTGCTTTTCTGGTAGATGAACCAGATTCCTTGGTGATTTTAAAACTGTCACCACTAACATTTGTAATTGCCACTGCTGTGTCCAAATCAGAGACATATCGTTGGAACCGTGTTCAAGTGAAATATTCTAAGAATCTGTGGTGCAGAATTTATGTAGGTTTTTTCATCTCCAGTTTCTTTACTTCATAAAAGCTGCACAATGTTAGTGATGATGACAAAACATTTCCTTTATAACTGATTTTAAATAATTAATAGTAAAGCTGCTAGTGGGGCAGGGGGAATCAAAACCAAAACCCATAAGCATTGCAGGCATTATTTTTATTTCATCTTATGTATGCATATTTCTTTTACCCTATGGTAGGACAGTCTGATAGTAGGGTTCTTACAAGATTATTTACATAGTGACATGTTGCATTTGTTAGTTGCTTTTTTTCCTTTTATTTTGATGTACATCACTTTGTTACTACAGTCTCTGGGTTAGTATAAAAATCCTTACTGATGTGCAAACAAAACACCAGATGGATGTGAGCTGATATTATTTTCTTTATACTCTTAAATTATTTAGATATAGCTGGAAAGCATTCTGTTGTGCCCCATTAATAGGGGTGTTTTAAGCTCATGAATGAGAACTAAAATTGAGGCTTAATTAGGAGTGCTGAAAAGCTGGGTAGCAAAGAGGTAGAGTTATGAAGGTAGGAGGATCTTTTAAAAAGAACTCATATGCTGTATGAGTTCTGCTGAAATAATACCTGAAAAAAAGCTCTTTTACTAAAGAAAAGCTGTGGTATTAGCAAGCTTAATTTTTTAGGAGATTGCCTTAGATAGTTATTTTAATTCATCAAAAATATGAGTAAAAATTTTAATCCTAACTGTTCAGTGGAAATTCACTCTATAGGAAAGAGACAGAGCTGCTCGGATAGTTCAGAAATCTGCATTAAACTTCTTGGCTCGTCGACGCATCCTGAAGGAAGTCAATGCAGCAGTTTTCATCCAGAAGCACTGGAGAAGATACATAGCCAGGATGACTTTTTTAAATCTGAAAAAGACTAAATTGGAAGAAGTCAGAAATAAATCTGCCACAGTCATTCAGGTAATATGACTTAAAGTGAGATTACACAGCAAAGAACCCTTTGAAACCCGTAAGGAAATGGCTTGCTTGGGGTCAAACAAATGGTTTGTTCTGCTTGCAGCACCTGATGTCTTAATGGAAATTAATACTTTCCCCCCACCTCTTGTGAGATATTTTGGTATTCTGTCTTCAGAGTGAAATGGTAAAAGGGAATCTTTTGTTCCCAGAATTGTAAATGCTTTAAAAAACAATTAGTCAAGTACTTGTTTTTTTGCTTTTAATCTATGTAGCTCTCTGGGCTTGTCTTCCTAGGGGTTAAGTAGGAATAAGGAAATCTTTAAAAGTGTGATGTTGGTAGTTCTCAAATTTACACTTAACTGAAGATACCATGAAGAAAATGGTAAATAGTTTGTTTTTTCCTGCAGGCTCATTGGAGGAAATACTCTGCTAGGAAAAGATATTTACAGCTACGATACTATGTTATCTTTGTACAAGCAAGGATGAGGATGGTGAAGTCTGTTGCTGCATATAAACAAATTGTTTGGGCTGCTGTTACAATTCAGAGTCATCTGCGTGCATCTAAATTGGCAAAAAAAGATCGGCAAAGATATGAAACCTTGAAGTCTTCAGCACTTACTATTCAGTCTGCGTTCAGAAGATGGAGAAGACACAAAATTCAGCAGAAAATTAAAGCAACTTTAGTGCTTCAGGCTTATTTCCGAAAATGGCAATCTTCAAAACTGGCTAAAAGAGAGAGGGCTGCTCTTGTCCTACAGTCTTGGTACAGGATGCACAGAGATCTGAAACAGTATCTATGTATGAAGCAAAGTGCTATCAAGATTCAGGCTTGGTATAGGTGTCAGCTGGGTAGACGTATTTACCAGGAACACAGAGCAAAAATAGTGACAATTCAGCAGTATTACAGAGCTTATAAGCTAGGAAGAATGGAAAGACACTACTATTTGCAAAAGCGTGCAGCAGTGATAGCTCTCCAAGCTGCTTTTAGAGGCATGAAAGCACGTAAACTATACAGGCAAACAAAAGCAGTTTGTGTTTTTCAGTCGCTGTGGAGAATGAAAAAAGAGAGACTAAGGTTTCTGCAATTAAAAAAATCTGTTACTACATTGCAGGCACATATCAGAAAATACCAACAAGTAAAAAGATACAGAGAGATGAAAAATGCTGCTTCTGTAATTCAAACTTGGTACAGGGCATGTGTCACTTCTAAAAAAGCAGCTGTTTCTTTCCAGCGAATGCGCCTGGCTGCTATTATCCTACAGTCTGCCTACAGAGGAATGGAAGCTAGGAAAGAGGCTCGCATGCTGAGATCTGTGATAAAAATTCAGTCAAGGTACCGTGCTTATGTTGTCCAGAAGAGGTTTAAAAACTTGAAAGATGCAACAGTGAAGATTCAAGCTTTTGTAAAGATGAGGCAAGCATGTAACCATTATTGTGCACTAAAGGAGGCAACACTTTATGTCCAGCGAAGGTATCGGTCTCATAGATACACTCTTCAGCTTAAAAACGATTATAGGAAGCTGAAAGGAGCTTGCATAAGAATTCAAGCTGTAGTTCGAGGCTATCTGGTCAGGAAACAATTACAGAGGTGGAGGGAGACTGCAGTATTTCTTCAGGCATGCTACAGAATGAGAAGGGACAGGCAACGCTATTTAAGCATCTACAGTGCTACCATTGTCATTCAAAAACATTATCGTGCATACAAAAAGCAGGTGTGTCAGAGGCAGGAGTTCTTGCAAGTTAAAAAAGCAGCTGTGTGCTTACAGGCAGCTTACAGGGGTTATAAAACACGTAAAAAGCTTAAACTTGAATATAGAGCTGCTATCAAAATTCAAACTGCTTTTAGAGCTTATGTTACAAGAAAGAAATATAAAGCAACAGTTCAGGCCTCCATTGTGATTCAGAGGTGGTACAGAACTTACAAGACTGGTAACAGACAAAGACTGAAGTTCTTAAGGACAAGAGCAGCAGTGCTTTCTTTACAAGCAGCTTTTCGTGGCTGGAAGGTACGAAAGAAGATTCAAAGAGAATGTTTTGCTGCTACTAAGATACAGTCTGCCTTCAGAAAATTCATGGCTCTGAAAAAATTCAGAGTTATGAAACATGCTGTGCTAACTATCCAAAGGCATTACAGAGCTAGTGTTCTAGGCCAGAAACAACAGCAAGAATATCTTCAGCTGCGGGACTCTGTAGTGCGTCTTCAGGCGATATGGAGGGGGAAAACTGTGAGAAAAACAATTCAAAAGAAACATAATCACGCAACAGTTATTCAGTCCTATTATAGAATGCATATAAATCAACTAAAATACAAGAAACTGATACGAGCCACTCTAGTGATTCAGAAATACTTCAGAGCTTACTGTATGAGAAAAGCCCAGCATGCAATTTATCTAAAAAAAAGGGCAGCTGTGTTAGTCTTGCAGTCTGCTTACCGTGGGATGACTGTGAGGAAACAACTGAATCAGCTTAACAAAGCTGCTACAACCATACAAGCTGCCTTCAGATCTTACCTGGTCAAAAAGAACTATGAAAGACTTAGATCTGCAGCTATGGTAGTTCAAAGGCGTTATCGTGCACTTATTCATGCTAAATGTCAAAAGCAGAAATACCTGTCTTTAAAAAAAGCCACAGTCAAAATGCAGGCAGTTTTTAGAGGTGTAAGAGTTAGACGACAAATTCTTGGTATGCATCGAGCAGCTGTTTGTATCCAAGCCACATTTAAGATGCATCGCATGACCATAAAATACCAGGCAATGAGAATGGCAGCAATTATAATTCAAAGGCAATATAGAGCATTTTGTTTAGGCAAAATACAACGCAAAAAGTACTTGGAACTGAAGAAATCTGTCATAATCCTTCAGGCTGCTTGTAGAGGCATGAAGGTCCGACAAGACTTAAAAGCTATGCATCAGTCAGCAACAGTGATACAGTCTTATTATCGAATGCACAAACAACAGAGGGATTTCAGAAGATTGTTGCTGGCAACTCAGCAGATTCAGCAGTGGTTCCGTGCTTGTAAGGAGCAAAATGCACAAGTTCACAATTATATGATTATGAAAAGTGCTACACTTCGTATCCAGGCTGCATTCCGTGGTATGAAAACAAGAAGACTTGTCAGAACTATGAATGAATCAGCTGCACTTATTCAAAGGAGATTTAGAGCGTTTCTCATAAGAAAGCATTTTCTTTCCACCAAGTCAGCTGCTGTTGTAATTCAGAGAAGATACAGAGCAACAAAACTAGCAAAAATTCAACGTCAAAAATATCTCTGTTTCCTTAATGCTGCTGTTATCATACAGTCTGCTTATAGAGGCTTTGTGGTAAGAAGAAAAATACAACAGATGCATCAAGCTGCTACAGTTATTCAAGCAACATTAAGAATGCGTAAAGTTTACATTTCTTATCAAGCTATCAGGCTTGCTTCAGTAATCATACAGCAACGTTATCGTGCTTACAGGGAAGGGAAGCGTGTGAGAGAGACATACCTAAAACTGTACAATTCTGTTTTATTTCTTCAAGCTGGCTATAAGGGAATGAAAACAAGACGCTTCTTGAAGAAAAGACATGAGGCAGCGCTTACAATACAGAAAAACTACCGAATGTATAGACAGTACCACCATTACAGAAAAGTTCAGTGGGCAACCCAGCTAATACAGCAGAGATACAGAGCAAATAAGCTAAAGAAAATTGCAGTACAACATTACTCTTCATTAAAGAAAGCTGCAATTCGTATTCAGAAGGCTTTCCGAGACTTGCAGGCAAAAAAGCAACATCGAAAAATGCACTGTGCTGCTATTATTCTTCAGAAAAAATTTAAAGCTCTTAGAGAACGTCAGCGCTATCTCTCTCTAAAAGCAGCTGCTCTTGTCTTTCAGAGAAGATACAGAGCTTTGATTTTGTCAAGACAGCTTACTTCAGAGTATCTTTCTCTTCGCAGAGCAGCTATTCAACTACAGGCCATGTATAGAGGTATCAGGGTACGGAAGAAAATTGAGTGTATGCATTTAGCAGCTGGTACAATACAGTCAGCCTACAAAATGCACAGGACTAGAAGGTTCTATCAAAAGATGAGAATTGCTGCTATTGTTATACAGAACTACTATCGATCCTATGTTAAAGGAAAGTATCATCGGAAGCAATATCTGACAATGAAGAATTCTGCTCTTGTTATTCAAGCATCATATAGAGGCATGAAGGAACGACAGAAACTGAAAACCATGCACATGTCAGCAATTGTAATACAGTCTAGTTATCGCATGTACATACAACATAGGTACTACAAACAGTTGTGCTGGGCTGTCAGAGTTATACAACAAAGATTCAGAGCCAAAATGGCAAAAGAAGCTGCCATGGAAAACTATGCAAAAATTAAAAAAGCTGTAATTTGCCTTCAGTCCTCTTTCCATGCTAAAAAAGCTAGGCAGTTGTACAAAACCAATGTTGCTGCGCGGCGCATACAGGCGTTCTTACGTATGCGTGTAGAGAGAAGGCGTTTTCTTGAAAAGAAAGCAGCAGCAATAACAATCCAGTCCATGTTCCGATGTCGAAGAGCAAGGACTCGCTATAAACTGATTCAGAGTTCAGCAGTTGCTATTCAGAGGTGGTACAGAGCATGGCATAGGGCTTGCTTACAGAAAGCAGAATATTCTGCTCAAAGACGAGCAATAGTAATTATTCAGTGTGCCTTCCGTGGTATGAAAGCAAGAAAAATAGCACGACAAAGACGAGCTGCAAGAAAGATTCAGTCTTTTCTTCAGATGGCTCTGCAACGTAGAAAATTTATTCGGCTTAGAACAGCAGCTATTACATTACAAGCGTATTACTTAATGCATAAAACTAAATCACAGTATACAAGATACAAAAAAGCAGCAGTTGCCATACAACAATGGTACCGTTCCCACTTGGCTGTAAAACATCAAAGAATGACTTACTTACAAACCTGGAGAAACATTGTCACTGTGCAGACTAGAGTCAGAGGATTCATTGAAAAGAAGAAGTTTCGCAGAATTAAAGAAAGCACAATAAAAATTCAGGTACTTTTTTGGGTGTGGATTTTGGGTGTGGGGGTTTTCTTTCTTTTTTTAATGCTCTTGCAAACAATAGTTTAAAGCTGTTAAAGTAGAATCAATTTCTGAAGTATAGTACATAGCAGGTGTATAAAGTTTACTACCACAATGCACAGAAGTAAGTCTCAGCTCTATTTTGTCTTTCCTTGCTGAGGTACTCATCTTAAAAAGTAACATTTCCTTTTTCTTCTTGTTTCTCCCCTAGAACCTTACTACTTCAAATGAGTCCTTATACTTGCGTGTGTTTCTGTGGTTCTTGCTTGTTTTTGTCCTATTTGGCTTTCGCCTATATATATATGAATAGTTTAATTAATCTTTTGCTTTGTTTTTATTAGAATGTGAATGAAAGCTGTCTTGACATTGAAAGGAGTGGTCACTAGTATTGGGTATAGAGTAATTGGTAAAAAAGGCATGACTGTTGCATTCTTTAAGAATCATATTAAGGAATGCATGGGTAAATAAATAATGTTAGTTCTTTTGGATTTATTAAATGGCCGTGGACTAATTTGAGTGCCTAACATTTTGAAGAGGAATATAAGGAGAGAAATTGCCTTATTGTACCTTTCACCTGGTACCTTGAGTGATGATGCATGAAACTTGGTTGGAATCTGTTTATGTGATTTCTCAGAAGCACTCTAGGAAGTGGGAAGTATGTAGTTTGATGGTTTTTCTTTCCATCATTGATGCAATAAAAATGTTGCCAGCAAGAAGTAATGAAGATTGTTCATCTCTGAGTAGCAGGCTAAATATCCATATAGTGTGAGTTCAAAGAAGCTTAGAAGACTCGTTACTCTGAAGTGATTTTTCAGGTTTTTGTTTGGTTTTTTTGTTGTCCGTTTTTTTTTTTAAGGCGGTTTTCCGTGGATTTATTCAGAGACAGAAATACCTTCAGTACAAATCTTCTGCTATATTAATACAGCAGCACTACAGAGCCCATCAGATGCGAAATATTGAACAACTAAGATACCATCAAATGAGAAGAGCTGCCATTAGAATTCAGGTAATCCCAGAGGTTATGTTGTTGTTCTTTGTTTGGTTTTTCAGTCTTTCTTGTATTTGTTTCTTCATGACAAAATTATTTTTACAGATATTAGAGAGTGGCATTTATGGTATTTTCCTGAATGTGTTTAATTTGCTGTAGAAAACATCTTCTAGACGTGAGAAATTAGATATTTGTCATACTATAGAGACAGGAATCCTAAAAGTCTTTCATGCTAACATGACACTTTTTCCTTTAAATTTTGTTTGTAACATTAAAAAAAGTAAACAAAAAATGAAGCTTTTAATTCTGTGGTTTGTTTTTCTTTCTGTATATTGAATAGGCATCATATAGAGGATATAAAGCCAGGCAGTGGTTTAACAAAATGAGAGCAGCACAAGTAATTCAAGCCTGGTATCGAGGCTGCAGAGCACGAAAGGAATATGCATCTGTGGTAAAAGCTGTACGAGTTATTCAGAGTCACTTCAAAACAAAACAGCAGCGGGCCTGGTAATACTGAGTTTGATATTCACTTCTCTACTTTTCAATGCTTGTATTATATAATTGTTTAGTACTGCTTTTCACTCTGGCAAATGCCTATAGGTTCTCAGGCTCTGACCCTGCCACATGTATTTAACACGTGTGAGCATAAGCCTGTTGATGCAGATGGCATTTTTCTTTTGCATGAGATTTTTCATAGGTTTAAATGATTTTTTGGACTGGAAGCTACTTCTCAAATATTGCATATTGAGGATGTAGAAAGAGTAGGCCATGATTTTTTTTTCCCCACTTACTTTTTACAGGAAGTATGTTTTGGCTGTTGTTAAAAATTCCAGCATAAAACTAATAGGATGAAAAGCTGTTTTGTTATGAAGCAATAGTCAAACTAGCTTGTGTTTAATTTGCTGTGAGATGCTTTTACAATAAATGCTGTACTAGATCATCTCCTTCAGAACTGTCCTCTGCCAGTAGCAGCAGCAGATGTTGTTTAAGGACAGTATTAACCTGACCACTTTCTAAGGTCCTCCATCCTTGTTAGATGATACTAACTCTCTACTATAGATGAACTGCTCTCTCCCTCCTCATCCTTCTTTGGAAGCAAGTTCTGAAACTACCAACTATGGGGAAAAAAGAAAGTATCTTCTATTTTAATCCAGTCTTTCAGCCAACATTGCTGGCTATCCCCTTGTTCTAGTGTTCCAAGATTTGATTGATAACAGCTCTGCTTTCAAAGTATCTTTTAATAATTTTGTAAGCCATCACTCTTTTCTTACTTAAAAAATGCAAGTGTTCTCAACTTATGGAATAAATGCATTTTCATGTTAGGTTTTTGCAAATGAAGTTCTGTGCACTTACCATTCAAAGAAGATGGAGAGCAACCCTTACTGCACGAATGATTCGATACCAATTTCTGGCAGCTAAGAATGCTGCAGTTAAGATTCAGTTGGCATACAGACAGTACAGGGCAAGAAGACTTCTAAGAAAGGTATGTTTTCACGTGTACTCTGCTACATCACGGTTGTTCGGTTGTTTTAAAAGTTTTCAACATACTTGAGTGATTATTGTCATCAATCAGGTTTACAAAAGAAAAAAGGTGGGTCCAGAGGGAAGATTTTTCAGATCAGACCGGTTGAATCTTCAAAATATTAAATTTCCTTTTTGCTCTGAGCAATGAGGTTGATTCTTGTTTTTGAACAATTCCAGTTGTTGAATTACTCTAGTCTATACTGATGGTAGGATAAAATCTAAGATACTCCATTTTCTCCTGGCTTTATTGCTTACAAAGGATTAAGTTAAATTGCCCAGATTTTTACTCCATTTAGGTAAGGGATAAGACCTTCACAATTGCGAAAGTGCATTTTTATATAAACTAGTACTGCATGAGTTTGCTTGTGTTTCCTATTTTGGTTTTGTTCTTTTTCTTTTGATGGGAAAAAAACCCTAGAATTGAAATTAAAATCTATATTGATCATGACAGGAATGAACAGAAGTTTAATTATGAATGCCTTCTTTAAAATCTTTTTCAGAAACTTCAAGCTGCATGTTTGATCCAAAAAGCATACAGAGGTTTCAAGGCAAGAAGGGAACTTGCTCAACAAAAAGCTGCTGCTATAATTATCCAAAAGCATCTGAGGGCTTGGCAGGAAGGCAGGCTTCAGTTTATGAAATACAACAAAACTAGAAGAGCTGTCATTAAATTGCAGGCATTTATACGGGGTTATTTAGTCAGAAAAAAGGTTGGTATACTTCAAATTAAAACCATACTTTTGATGTCAAATATCACTAGGGCTTTTTAGCATTAATTCTGGCTGGCAAGGAAAAGAAAACCTGATCAACTTGTTGAACTCAAATTCTTGTTGCCTGCTTTGAGAATTGGGTGGGTCAGAAGAGATCACAATACATTTTCACTGTTTTCTCCTGATCCTTTAGTGGTTTTTTAACTTGTCAGATCTTTGTGGCTTACCTATAACTGATACTTCTACACGAACACACACTTAGAATGAAACTGTTTTCTGCTATGTAGTAATGTTGCTTACAATCACTTCTGTGTGTTATTGTTTTAGATTAGTTTACTTAGTTCTGAGGTGTAATGACTTGAGTCAGTTCTTCAGCATCCATAGTATATTGTTGTGTTGTAAGGCAGAGATAATCAGCTACCTCTGAGTATGAAAAATAATGATGTTCCTGGTTTTGTTTTCATTCTACAGATTTTAGAACAGAAACAAAAGAAGAGACTGCTTCATTTTGCAGCAGCTGTGCATCATCATATCTCTGCAATTAAAATTCAAAGGGCGTATAGGATTCACCTCATCCTAAAACTGGCACAAAACCAGATCTCATCTGTTCTTATAATACAGGTGGGTCTAATTAAGGATGAATGTGTAATGAAGTCTCATTTCTTTTTGTCAGCTAAGCTGTAACACTTTATTTTATGGAAAAATAAAGCTAAATTATGGAGAATACAGTTTATTAAATAATGCTGCTTATACCCTGCAAAGCATATCAGAATGGATCTCAGCAGGCTCTGGAGGCTTAAGCACTTTAAAGCTGAGGATGGATGGGAATGTTTGCTTCCTTCAGACCCTCAGTCTTGATAAAGGAATCTGAGTGCTGTCTTAGCCTATTTCTTTGCATCCCACTGGAAGTAGGAAAGATCAGACATGATGGGCTGTAAGGCTTGTGAAATGAAGAGCAACAAATACTCCCCCAGGATACAGGAATTTATTTGGTTGGATGTTTATAACCTGCCAGTCATACCAGACCCTGTCCAAATTACAGCTTTTTTAATATAACCATATCTTATCTATTTTAATATAACCATATTTTACTTCTCTAAAAGCAAGAATAAAAATCAGGTCTGTTTTGCAGCACTACCTAATAGTAAAATATTTTCTTCAGGTCTCTAAACTGGCCATTAGCTTAGTCCCAATAATGGAAGGTCAGCATTAGATACATGGAGAGGCCTCATGAAATAGCTGTCAAGGATGTTATGCCAAACTTAGCCCTACTACTCCTCCATGTATAGCATGTCTGTTATCTCTCCCCAAAAGTTCTATCTTCCTCTAAAGGCAAGAGTGAATGGGTGGAAGAGACTTTGTTTCTCACTTTTGGCATACAGTAGTACCCTGTCTTCCTTCTCTCTCTCTCTCTCTCTCTATATATATATATAAGGAAGAAATAGAGCTGGGAAATTACAAGAGTGGAGTGATGGATATTTTTAAAAGCCAACCAAGAGAAAGAGAATCCCTAGGATAGAGTAATTCCAGACACAAGTATAAATTGGGAGAGAGTAGCTGGAGAGCAGCCCTGCAGGAAGGGATCTGGGGGTGGTGGTGGGCAGCAGGCTCATTGTGAGCCAGCTGTCTGCCCTGGCAGCTGAGAGGGCAAATCACATCCTGGGGTGCAAACACAGCATCACCAGCTGATCAAAATCAAGGATTATCTTGCTCTATTTTGCATTGTGGGCCTCACCTGGAGTGCTGTGTGCAGTTCTGGGCCCTGCAGTTCAAGAAGGGTGTTCAGGTCCTTGCACACATCCAGGGGAGGGCAACAAAGCTGGTGAAAGGACTGGTAGGAATGAGGAGCAGCTAAGTGGAGTTTCTCCACTTTGGAAATAAGGAGACTGAGGGGCAACCTCATTGCTCCCTTCAGCTTCCTGAGAAGGGGAAGTGGAGAGGGAGGTGCTGATCTCTTCTCCCTGATATCCAGTGGTAGGGCACATGGGAATGGTCTTAAGCTGCACCAGGCAAGGCTTAGGCTGGACATTAGGAAGCATTCCTTCACTGCCAATGTGGTCAAACACTGGAACAGGCTTCCTAGAGGGTTGATGCCCCAAGCCTGCAGTGTTGTAGATGCATTTGGGCAATGCCCGTAAAAATAAGCATAAACTTCTGGTCAGCCCTGAATTTGTCAGGCAGTTGGATTTAGATGTTCATTTCATATCCCTTCCAACTGAAAATATTCTAATCTAGCCTATACAGAATTCTTCCTTATCTACTCCTGGTTGTTAAGATTTAATTTTCCAGTCTTGCATTTCAGCTACCCCAAACACAATCAGAACTGTGTCACGGTGGTTTAATGAGTGCAAGAGATGTTTATACTGCATTTATCTGTCAAAGCTCATGTCAAAATACTTGTTTCATTTTTATCTGTGCTTGTTTAGGATTGGAAAGGGGAATTCAGGGAAAAGTCTTAAATAAATTAATGGAAAGGTACTTTAATTTTAAACAGAGATGGTTCCGAGCAAAAATGCAACAAAAGAGATTTCAAAGAGATTATCAAAGAATGATTCAGTTACAACGTGTGATTCGAGGCTGGCTAAATCACAGAAGGGCTGCAGCCGTCGTCATCCAGCGCAACGTGCGGAGGTTCCTTGCCCGCAGACGCTGGAGAAAATTTGCAGCTGGAATAATTAAATTACAGGTACATATCTCTCTTAATAAAACTACAGTATGTTTTGCATTTTATTTTTTCATTTTTCTTTCATGGGTTTTTTGGGGAGAGGAAAGATGTTTACTTTGGTTGATGAATTAATCAGTTAAATTGCGAACCAAGTTAGCTTCAGTTTAGACATCAAAGCTAAATGCAAACAGATAATGAAGAAATTAAACAGATACTTCTTGAGGTTGCTTATGTAGGAGTGTTTGTGGAGTGTATATGCATGTATTTCTTTGGCCTTTTGTCTTGAAAATACAGCATTTGGAAGATGAAACTGAATGGTAATTACTTTTATAATCAAGCTAATTAAGTACTTTGTCAGACTTGTGTAAAACTGATTTGGAATGGTAATGAAAGTTCCTGTCTTATTGTCTCTTGCTCACAACTTTTTTTCTCTTTGCGAAATTTCCTTTTCTGTAGGCATTGTGGAGAGGATATTTCTGGAGAAAGAGTAATGACACAGCAAAAATTAAAGCTTTAAGATGTAGTTTAGAAAAGGCTAATAAAAAGAGCAGAGAAGAAGACAAACTGTGCAACAGAACCACAATTGCTATCGAATACCTTCTGAAATACAAACATCTCTCTTATATTCTTGCAGCCTTAAAGCATCTGGGTCAGTATTTCATTTTATTAGAACTGATAGATTTCCAGAATGATAGAAACTGGAATTTTTCAGTTAAGAGGAGTTCATAATGATATTTAGACCTTCTGTATGATTGTAAAATGTGAACATGTTAGAGAGTATAATGGAGATTCTTTTCCAGACTAAAATTAGATGGTTGATTTAAGACCAGTATTAAAATAGTTACGGAGAGAAAGGAAATCCTATGTGATTGCTCTGATTTCCTGGCAGTACTAGTAGTACTTGACCTTACCAAGTCAATTTTATCTTATCAGTATATGTTCTCTGTGGATTGCTCTGTCTGCACAATTTTTAGTCTGGAGTATTAAAACTATTGATTTAGAAATAGTTTTTTAAATCAGTAATTGCAGTTTTTACTACTTTGTGCTTCTTAAAAATAAGAGAAAATTCAGATTTGCAATTAAATTGCTTGAGCTTTCAGAGGGTTTTTTTTGTTTGTTTGTTTTTTTATTATCCTAGAGGTGGCTACTAGGCTGTCCCCACTTTGTTGTGAAAATATGTCCCAGAGCAGAGCAATCCTCACTATTTTTGTTCTGATCAGAAGTTGCAACCGGAGTGTGCCATGCATGGATGTGATCAGATATTCAGTTCAGGTTCTACTTAATGTTTCAAAGGTAATGTGAATATTTTCTTTTGCAGGTTTATAAGCTGTAGACTAATTTTGTAGTATTTATTTATCCACAGCGTTTCTGAATAAATTTAAAACAACAAAATTAATTAATTAATTTTTGGGAGGAAAAAAACCAAAACCAGTTTATAATTCTAACTGTGTTATTTTGAAACCAGTTTTCTACTTCATAGCAGTTATTTAATTTTCCTTTTAGTGAAAGGAATGATTTGAAAATAGTTTAAAACATTTGAATATTTTGAAATTTAAAATATTTACTAAACATAGTTTTTGGTATTACATCTATCCTATAGGTATTTACATTCAAATTCCTTTTTTTAAAATATTTTTTTTTTTAATTTGGGGGGGTGGTGGAACAAAACAAAAAAAATTAGGCAAAACTTATTTTTAAATTTCTCTGAACTCATTCTGATTTATTCTTCTATTTTAATAGTAAAATTGAGAATGCTATGTTTTTATAAATGAGGGTAAGGACAAAGAGTAGCTTTTTGTTCCAATGATGTAACACAGAGAATATTTATCACTTGGATGCCAGACCAGCTACAAATTTAATTTGGGAGCAGATATGCATTTTGCTATCACAGTGTCACTCTGGTTGGAAAAGACCTTCAAGATCATCAAGTCCAGCCACTACCCTAATTGCCATGTCCACCACTAAACCTTGTGCCCTGGCACCACATTTGTCTTTTTAAATGTCTCCAGGGATGATTGCTCAACCACCTCCTCAGACAGCCTGGATCACCAAGTCTATATAACCTCTCTTGTCTCTTCCTTGTATAACAGTATGAGAAAACAACTCAAGCAGTTTATGAAGTAGAAAATTCTATAGATACATTACTAGACTTACTGCAGATGTACAGAGGAAAAGCAGGGGACAAAATTTCAGAGAAAGGAGGAAGCATTTTCACAAAGACCTGTTGTTTGTTGGCCATCCTTTCAAAGGACTCGAAAAGAGCTTTGGTAAGGCTTTAATGTTTTGTGTTTCATAATTTGATTCAACATGCACTTCTTGCATGTTTTAGTGGTGCTTTAATTATTTTTTTTCCTCTCCCTCTCTACTGGACCTATTACAGCTGTAATATTAATTATGACTAAACTTTTAACTTTAAGAAATGCATTATTAAATAGTGAAAAGATGCATTATTTTGTTCTTTGTACACCCTGGTCACCTAAAGCTATTCAATAAGACACTGAGATACTGGTCCGGCAATCCCTGCAAGATTACGATACTGCTTTTTCCCCAGGGTTTTGATGGCTTTCTATTAATTGCTTAGCATTAGATACAGTTTAATTGCCACTTGATTAACTTTTATTCGTTTCTCAAAGCTTGCTGTTGCTATTCAGATAAAATTAAGATCTTTATTGTCAGTAACAACTGGTAATATGATTCTCTGCGACTTTGTGTTGACAAACTATTGTAAAAGAGTCATAGACTGTTTCTGAAAGAAATTGCCTTTGTTCATGCCTATTGTTGGAATCTCTAATAAGGGTATTAGAGTACTCTGGGTCTATCTTACACATTCACTAGCCATTTATCCATCACGTATAAGCACTTAAATTATCCAGTCACCTGATCATTGCATCATTATTCTTCTGTTGCTGTAGACACAGGTACAAACACTAATTTATCTCTTTACCAGTCATTGAAGGCATATGCCAATGACATATGTGAAAATTTGTTTTAATGAGAATTTAGTAAAATCTGACTTGTAAGAGCTTGGTTTCCTGAGATGTCGTTGCTTGCCACCACCATTTTGAAAGCTTTAGACCACCAACTTGTAGGTGTGCTGGCTTTAAAATGGTTTCCCTGTACTTGCGGGTAGAAGTTCAGCCTAAGTTACAAACATTCAGTTTGCAGTGAATCAAATAGATTTCTTTTGAACTTGTATTAACTCTGTGCTGGTTTCCCCTTTTCTCAGGAAATCCGAAGCCTGCCAAGAACTCTTACTTGTATTAAAAGCCTATATAAGCTTACAGCTCGGAAACACAAAATGGATGCAGAGAGAACACTTGTGAAGCAGAAAACAAACAATTTCTTAAGTGGAACTTCCTCAGTTCCAGTTACTCCTCTAAAAATAAAAACAGTTTCAAGGTAAGAGCTTAAAAATTAGTCTGCAGGTTTTTCTGTGGCAATAGAATATTTTACTGAGAAAACACTAATATTTTCACAGAATTAAACCAGACTGGGTTTTGAGGAAAGATAACATGCAAGAAATTGTGGAACCTCTACAAGCAATTCTTATGGTGATGGATACACTTGGTATTGCCTGCTACTGACATGTAAATTATGTATATGAAAGTGTATTTGTACAGCGTGTATGTAGTAGACAGTTAAATGATTTTAGAAAAAAGCAAATAAATCTCATTCTACCCTTGAAATTTTTCAAATTACAGTTAACGTTTCTATAACATTTTTGTATTGTATACAGCTTTTGAAATCCTATTTTGTACTGTGACCAAAACAAATTGTAAAATAAAGTCCTGGAAATTACACTAGTGCAGTAATGTATTACTGTTACACAACCGTGAATCTCACAGAGAGCAGCGTATTCCTTGCTCTGATTAAAGATAATAGAATTATATTAAAAACAATTGGTTTTGTGGTGCAGTTATGTTGGCTTGTCTGATCTGGACAGATACAGGTAGAAAGGGAGGCACAGTCTGAATTTCAAAACAGGCTACTGTTTTTGGAGAGCTTTGCTGTCTACTAAGGTTTTAAAGGGATCGTGTGTGACTAAGAAATACTTTTTTAGTATCATTCTTATTGTTTTAAACACTATGAGATTGTGATGGAACAACGGGATGTTGCAAGGGTGAATTTAGAAGTTCTGACTGCATATTTTACGGGATGTGATTTGTGAGTTCTTTCTTCTCTCGAGTGAGCAGTACATGCAAGTGTGCATCTCCCCTGGCTAAATATATAGTGCTCGTCACAGCATCTCCCTTAAATTCTGCTTGCTTGTGCCTTTGAATTGCATTTCCTTAAAGCAAAGCCAAGAAAATGAAAGCTTTAAAATTATACCCTCCCATCCCCCATATTTAGACATTATGCCTCCCAGTGGTGGAATGTGATGCTAAATCAACTGCTAGCCATTACTCAGTGAGGTGATAATGTGTTGTAAATGAGCGTTGGGTTTTTCTAATTTTGTTTAAAAATAGCTCAAAAGGGGCTAGTTGTATACACCAAAATCCAACAGACAGATAACAGTAGTGGCTGTGTTCATGTAGGAGCCTCCAGAATTAATCATGTATAGAATGCAACTGAGTGGTTCTTTGGGGGAAGGCTGGAGGAGGGGAAAATTTTCTATTTCCTCTTATTTCGGCCAAAGTAAATAATCTGATTGATAACAGAATGCCCTTTAAACTTGTAAGAGGGTCTGAGAGGGACAGTGTTCTGTTAGTTTAAACTCTTCCATAAGCATGTTGCCTAGTTTCATTGTAAAATGATTAATTCTGTCCTCTATACTGATATAAAGTATGCCAAATGGAAATAGAAGTCTGCAAGTCTAGTGTTAGCGTATTTGGAGAACTAAAATAAATTAAAATGATGTTTTCAGGGGAATAATGTGTATCAAAATACCATGGATGACTAAAGCACTTGTGGATACTTTGAAAAACCAGTTAATTATTTACAAAAGTAATGCTTTAGGTAGTTTTCACAGGTGATGGAAGCTGTTGATGGAGAAAGTAATGAAGATGAGATTTAAAAGCTGGTTTTTCTTCCTAATTATGGTGTATTCAGGCAAACTCTCTGCAGAAGGTAAATACACTGAATTCTATTGTTAATAAATATATGTTGAATCTACTACGTGCAATCTAGGCACGTAGGTTCAAAAATGAACACAGCTTTTAAAATATAATTTGGTGTGAGATGGCAGATGATCATGATTTAGCTGTTGCTGTAACTCAGGGCTACAGGTTGGTGTTTAAGCTTCAAGGGTGTAATATTGAAAAGTTCAGACTTCTATTCTGAAAAAGTTTCTTTTTAAATGTATCTGAGGAGTTTTGAGGCACTTATACGAATTGAATTTTTTACTATTAGAACATTTTATATATTGAAGTGTCTTGGTGATTGAAGTGTTTTGTCCTACCACAAAGCAGAAGAATTGAAGTTCAATGGAACCTGCAGAAGCTAGTCTGGGATGTTTCTGCATTTCCTATCCCTATTTTCATTATTGTTTAAAATTCGTAGGTTTAAATGGTTTACACACCACATGAACTGCAGGTTCAGAACTGTGGACTATGTATTAGTTGAAAAGGTGTTTCTTTTTTTGCATGCCATTTTGTATCTGCTAATGTATATTTAGCCCCAACATATTTGCTGCAACTACCTCTCTCTTCAGTAGACTTTTGTCCATATGAAAAGCAGTTGAAATTACAGATACCATCTTGAAAATCAAACAAAAAGGTATGTAGGTAGCAACAGTTTCTCTCTTTTAAGTACTTGAAAATCCTAGCTACCCTCAGGTTTTTGTTGCTTTGTTTTTTTTCATTTAGATTTAAGACAGTGGCTACATGAGAAAGAATTACTAAAAAAGAATTCTCTTAGCACTTTCTACTTGGTAAAAATACTAAATTTACAGAACATTCTAGTAAATGCAGTATTGAGTGAAGGAACAGTAGTTTGATTTTTGTTTCTAATACGTGTAGG